GTACGAGTGTTCAAAACTGAAATAGCGTTGATAACTGGACCAATTGTTCGGTTGAGATGTTGCAAAGGAAATATCTGCTGAAGCTTTTCGCCAGACACTAATTATAGCAGAACCGTCTGGAAATTGATCTATAGGAAATAGTACAGCTTATAAAATGAGTCAGATCAACGTAGGCCGGTAAGGCAGTCACTGATTGGCAAGTCCTTAAGCCAATCAGTAAATGTCACAGACCTACTGAAGGATTGTTTGTTTGTTTGTTTTTGAATTTCGCGCAAAGCCACACGAGGGCTATCTGCGCTAGCCGTCCCTAATTTAGCAGTGTAAGACTAGAGGGAAGGCAGCTAGTCATCAACACCCACCGCCAACTCTTGGGCTACTCTTTTACCAACGACTAGTGGGATTGACCGTCACATTATAACACCCCCACGGCTGAAAGGGCGAGCATGTTTGGTGTGACGGGGATTCGAACCCGCGACCCTACTGAAGGATGTGTAGATTGTACAGGAATTCTTTTTGGCGGCAAAGAACAGGTTTATGTTTTTTAATAAAGGTGGCTTCCAAAATATAGAGATGAAAGGTTGACAGACCATTTGCAATAATTTTAAGCCTGCTATCCGTATAGTTGTGAGCACAAGTCGGGGTCACTAGTAAATACTGGCCAATCGTTGATTCACATTTTGGTGGTAGAACTTCTGTTTTACAGGAGTGATATGGTAAATTCTTTTCTTTCACACTCTTATTTCTTGTGGATGTGGGTACATGTTGTTTAATTCTATCTTGCAGTCTTTGTGAAGTGCGACCTACGTACCGACATTTGCAGTGGCGCGACAACTCACAAATAACCATATTTTTCTGTATGGTAGGTATCGCATCTTTGTGTGTTGCAGGCAACAGCTTACGTGTGAAATAAGCACAGTATGGGTACACTGCAGGAAAACATTTAGTAATGTCCGTTTTCAATTATTTTTCAAATTTTGTTGAAATGTTACCAATCCATGGTAGGTTTAGGTAAACAGTATACTTGTTAGGATCAAATTTAGTGGCAGTTGAAAAGCTCGCAATTTTTCTTGAAGTAATTTGATTGATGACATTTGCTGGATAGCCATTTTCTAGTAAAATAGTTTTAATTGTCTTCAATTCGAAATCTAGTTTAGATTTTGAACAGATAACTAGAGCCCGATGGACTAAAGTTGCAATAAGGTTCGTTTTGCGACTTTTAGGACTGAAAGAATCCCATTGTGTGTACTCTCCTGTAAAGGTAGGTTTTCTGTATATACTGGTGAGAAAACGAAAGTCATCTTTTTCAACTATGACGTCTAGGAATGGTAAAGAGTTATATTGTTCCTTTTCGAAAGTAAATTTGAGAGCCGAATGCAACGAGTTTAGGTCTTGTAAGAAACATTCACATTCCTGTTCAGTTTAAAAAATGGTAAATGCGTCATCTACATGTACATAGAGGAAGTAAACAGCAGGTCTGGTGACTTTGTTGAATAGTTCTTTTTCATGGAAACCAACGAAAATATTGCGAAAGTTTCGAAAACTTAGGAAATATTCAAGTTAACCGCAAGATGGTGTTGTTATTGTTCTTGATATTATTTGCAGTCTTTGTGATGATATATAATGTCAAAATCAGGGACAGCTATGGGTAAATAGCCCTTTGTTACGTTGCACGAAAAATCATTCAGCATGGCAATAAATTATTGTTTAATCATCCCCACGGTAGTGTAATCATCGTATTAAAAACAAAAAACTACTGTTTGAGTGAATTAGTTAACAACAGTGTTTTTATTTTTATCAACAAAACTTATTCTTGGGATACGACTAGGTATTAGTAGATAAAAACATTAACTCTGATTGAAAAAAGTTTCTTATGTAATTTTTTTTTGTAGAATACCATGAAGAGAAAGTTCTATCACTAATTACTTCAAATACATAAATTTAATCAAACGCAATATACTTATATAAAAACAATTCCAAACAATAAACAAATTTTTACTAAAATGCTACACCGTGTCTTAACGTTCAACTCCAGTGCTCGACGAGGATTTCACTTCTTTTTTATCTATAAAAAATATTCTGTTTTCGTTAATCCTTAATAATAAGTAATGTTTAGTAAAATATCAAATTGTAATTTTTTGCTGGGAGAGTTCGTAAAACCTCGCATATATTGAAACTCATTTCACAAAGCTTATTAAATTTGAGAAAAAAAGTATAATTTGTTACTGCAATGGCTGAACTCTTCTAGCATTTATTATTTCACGTTCTTATTAGTATAGATTTAATAAAAATAAAAAGTTATCAGCTGACGTATAAATGAAACTTTTTAGATCAAATACTTTTTTGTCATAATTTTTGTTAGAATTTATTTGCAAAAAATGTTGCAGAATGTATCGCTTATTTAATGGGTAGTAAAGAATGATTAAAGGTGGTAACTGTTTTTGAATTTTTGTTTTAAAGCGAAAAGTTATATAATAGGCTATCCATGCTGTGCCTAGAGCGAATATCTAACCCCGAGCTTTTAGCGTTATAAAGCTTAAGCTTATCACCATGAGGCAAAATGGTAGATGTAAGGTTAGATGACATGGTGAACCATAAATTAATCATCGACTGTATGTGTGAATAAAATGTTAAAGCTCCAATAAGAAGTGAATCTGATTTACTGTACATATTGTAACAAGCATGAATCCCAACGAGATTTTTATAAGGTAGATTTATAAATTTAAAAAAAAAAATACACGATCTATTCTTGATCTGGCAGAAGCTAGCTGTTTATAACGACATAACAGTAGTGAGTGATGTGTACTTTCAACCTCTGTTTTCAAAGAACATATAAAATCATCAGCAATATAGTGGGCATTTCTCAACTGTGTTTCAATTCAGTTATTGCATATTGTATTGTTCCAAATTGGTTGATCCATCTGAGCGAATAAAATTAATGTCCTTCGGTTGTCAGTCAAAACTATACCTACCCCTAAGGTATAGGACAGTGATTTAAGGCTCATTATAAGTGAATCATGAACAATCCAAGAGTTTTTAAACTTATCTTTTTTCCTGGGAACCATGAACACTCGGGCAATTCTACTATTATGCCATGTCAGGACCACCATAGAAAAAGTGTTGTTTTTTACCTATGTAAAATTATTAGTTATATGAAAATAAGAAAAGATTATAGTATATTAGTATTATGGGAGAGCTAACCCCTGAAAAGTTATTCCTATCTGATAAAATATTGAGTATATTAAGTTTAAAGCGCTGAAATAAGTTATACAAGTACAGAGCTATATATTCTCATGGATACAAAGTACAGATCAATTTTCCACCTGGGAATGTAAAAGATACTACAGAGGACTTGACCATATGTGTGTGACGTCGTAATTGCTCAAATTTAGTAGACAACTGGTGTGAAGAAACTTAGGCCATTTTGAAAGAGAAACTGTATAGTAATCTTACTGTGCATTGCAAAGTAAATTGTATTGTTTGTTTAGAGCAACCAAGTGTTACTAGCAGTATCATGATACTCGTTACTATTAATGATATAATGTTCTTCACATTTCAACAAGAGCGCTTAACCAACTTCAAGTGATAAGTACTATTAGGCTTAACGATTACGTTTATTACAGGTTGTATTACATTATTTATTAATAATGTCGTAATGATAGGACAAATTAAACAATTTAAATGTTGTTAGCACTTGCACTATGATGTGTCAAGTTTTTACAAAGTACATAGTCCGATATTTGGTCTAATCAATCACTGTCATTGGCAAAAGACTAAGTTAGGCCTAGTGAGTACTGTAAAAACAAGTATAAAATAATCACTGCAACATTGTAACTTACAAGTTGTAAATGTAAGTAGAATTTTGTATTCAGTTTGAATGTTTCAAATTTTTGGAAGACAAATCAACCTTAATAATTAGTCTTATTGCTCTGTGCCAACAAAAGCTTCAAAATTCATAAGGACATTTTGCAGTTTCAATTTTGTTTTGTCAACCTTGTAAGTTTGAACATGAATGATTACATCATAATGTAGGCCTAACTAAGAACTTTGCTAATATTAGTAGTATAAGAATGTATTTTCAAAATAATAGAGTAAGAATCAAGTTTCAAAGTTTAAATAGTTTAAAAAACGTTTGTTTTTTTTGTGAAATTGGTAGGTAAGAAGTTGTAACTTGTGTAAACAACATTCACAGTTGAAGAGAATATTAACAGATGGTCCATCAGGAATTGTCAATAGCTTTAACAACCAAAATACTTTTTTAAAAGAAAGGTTTTGAAGTCCGGTATTTATATTTTTTGGATTTTTATATATACTGAACCGCAAAAGAAACGTCGCAGTAATTAGAGGAA